AGTAGTAGTAGTTGTAGTAGTAGTAGTCGTAGTAGTAGTAGTAGTAGCAAAAGTAGTAGTAGTAGTAGTAGTAGTGGTGAGTAGTAGTAGTAGTAGTACTTGTACTACTACTAGTAGTATTCGTAGAAATTACTAAACCAAATAGTAGTAGCAGCAGTACTAGCACAGTAGTAAATAGTAGCAGTAGTAGTAGTCGTCCGTAGTAGTAGTAGTAGTGGTAGTAGCAGTAGTAGTAGTAGTAGTAGTAGTAGTAGTAGTAGTAGTAGTAGTAGTAGTAGTAGTAGTAGTAGTAGTAGTAGTAGTAGTAGTAGTAGTAGTAGTAGTAGTAGTAGTAGTAGTAGTAGTAGTAGTAGTAGTAGTAGTAGTAGTAGTATTAGTAGTGTAGTAGTAGTAGTAGTAGTAGTAGTAGTAGTAGTAGTAGTAGTTAGTAGTAGTAGTAGTAGTAGTAGTAGTAGTAGTAGTAGTAGTAGTAGTAGTAGTAGTAGTAGTAGTAGTAGTAAGTAGTAGTAGTAGTAGTAGTAGTAGTAGTAGTAGTCGTAGTAGTAGTAGTAGTAGTAGTAGTAGTAGTAGTAGTAGTAGTACGTAGTAGTAGTCGTAGTAGTAGTTAGTAGTCGTGTAGTCGCAGTAGCAGTAGTAGTAGTAGTAGTAGTAGTAGTAGTAGTGGTAGTAGTAGTAGATGTAGTAGTAACAGTAAGACGAACAATAGCAATTTGAGAAGTAGGCGTAGTAGCCGTCGTAGCAATGATTGTCGTAGTGATAGTAATCGTAGCAGTAGTAGTAGTAGTAGTAGTAGTAGTAGCAGTAGTAGTAATGGTCGTAGTAGTAGTTGTAGTAGTAGTCGTGGTGGTAGTAGTAGTAGTAGTCGTAGTAGTAGTAGTAGTAAGTGGTAAAGTAGTATAGTAGTAACAGTAATAGTAGTAGTAATAGTAGTATAGTAGTAGTACGTAGTAGTAGTAGTAGTAGCAGTAGTAGTAGTAGTAGTAGTAGTAGTAGCAGTAGTAGTAGTAGTAGTAGTAGTAGTAGCAGTAGTAGTAGTAGTAGTAGTAGTAGTAGTAGTGGTGGTCGTAGTAGTAGGAGTAGTAGTGGTAGTAGTAGTAGTAGTTGTAGTAGTAGTAGTAGCAGTAGCAGTAGTAGTAGTAGTAGTAGTAGTAGTAATAGTAGTAGTAGTAGTGGTAGTAGTAGTAGTAGTAGTAGTAGTTGTAGTTGTAGTTGTAGTGGTAGTAGTAACAGTATTAGTAATAGTAGTCGTCCCAGAACCCCTCAGAGGCTTTAAGAATCTCTCAGAGGTTCTCAAAATCTCCCAGAAACTCTCAGAGGCTGTCAGAGGCTCTCAAAGGATCCCAGAGGCGTTCCTAGTCTTGCAGAGGTTCTCAGAATCTCTCAGAAGCTCTCAGAGGCCCCCAGAAACTGTCAGAGGCTCGCAGAGGCTCCCAGAAGCTTTCAGAAGCTTTCAGAAACCATCAGAACCCCTCTGAGGCTTCCTGAGGCCCTCAGACGCCCTCAGAGGCTCTCAGAAGCTACCAGAGGCTCGCAGAATCTCTCCGGAGCCCCCAGAAGCTCTCTCGCAGCGCTCAGAGACTGTCAGAAGCTTGCAGAGGCTCTCAGAAACCCCCAGCATGTTTCAAATTTTTCGAAACCTTTCAGAAACTCACAGGATCTCACAGAATCACACGGGATCTCGCAGAAGCTCTGAGAATCTTTCAGAACCTCTCAGAACCTCTTAGGATATCTGAGAGGCTCTCAGAGCGGTTGGGATATCACCCGTCCCAGCTGTGATTGGCGGTTGTGATCCGACCCGTTCCGTTGGGATCTCACCCGACCGGTTGTGATCTGACGCTTTCTTGTGTGAAGAGAAGGGTTCCAAAAGGGGCCCTTTAGGGCCCCTCTTGGAGCCCGCAGGTGCCCAACATGGGGCCCGAGAGGACCCCTTCAGGGTCTTTTTCTTCCCCCCCCCACATTTGGGCCCTCCCCCCAATGCCACCCGCCCGAAAAAAACATACAACCTGGAAGGGGGGAAGGGAGGGGGAGGGTTTCGTAAGCCCGCCCACCAGTTTTACTGGGGCTCTGCCACTAGCGCTCTTTCGCAGATGTTTCAAGCATGCACGGTCTCCTGGTCCCGTTTTCCTTCCGCGTCGCGGTCTGAACCTTGACTTTTTGCTTCCTGGTTTCATGTTTCGACCTTGACTTTTCCTTCCTCGTTTCTGGTTTGAACGAAAAAAGGACGAATGCATGTCGTCCAACAGAGGTTTCGGAAATGAGCACTGGAAAACACTGTGCCGACGCTATTGCGCGACACAGGCGGGTTACAGCAAGCGCCGCTCGATAGCCAAGACGATCGAGCAAACGCTTCTTTCCTGATTGCAGAATCTCATACATCGAATTCCATGGCAATGCACACCGGCATGCAAATCGGCATGCACACCGAGGTGCAACCCGAAATGACATCAACACACACACACACACATATCGAACCACACATTGAGATGCGCATCGGAGTTCAAGCGGAATGCAATCGACATATAAGCCTATATACAACTCACCATGGATCACGACCTTCACATCGACCCGTACTTGGAAACGGCATCGACACTCACATTGAACTGCACATCGGCATACACATCAACTTTTAAGAAGGCTGCAGTCAGATTTCAAATCGTAACGTACATCATCATCCAATTCGGAATGCCCAACATAGTGCACATCGACATGCCAATCCAGATGCAATCCACAATGCAATGTGCATGGGCATCGAAACAGGACTCGAAACGCACAGCGAAATGCACATCGACTTGCAATCGAAATGCGCATACATATGCAAGTTCAGAAGACCTCTCCACTTCCTTTTCTGCCGAACGATTGTCTATGAGGTCTTTCTACCGCTCCTTATCCTCTCCCTGTTCCTCCTCTTTCTCACAACCACCCTCCTGCCATCATCATCGATATCCTCTCCTTCCCCTCCTCCGCCTCCTCCTGCTGATCGTCGCCGTTGTCGACATCAGCGCGATCCTCACCACAATTACCATCGCCATCATCATTGGCATCTTCATCCCCGTCATCCTCCTCCTGCTCCCGCGTTCGAATAGGGGATCGGCTCAAAACTTGATTGACTACAGACTTGATTAAACTATACGCAGAAAGCTCTTCGCTCTACGGAACAATCTTCGTATTTGTCGTAGATTCGACAGCAAAACCAATTTGGGGGTAGATCAATTCTGTAGTCGATCCCCTACTCGACTCGTGTCCACTTTCACCTCCCCCTCCTCGACCCTTCCCTGCCTCCCTGCCTCCGTCGATTCCCCCCCGCCCACACGAACGACGAACATGTCCATGTCCATGCCCTCGCGGTCTGGCTACCGAAGCGCGACCCCGCGGACATGCGATCCCATGGCTGCGCTCCGCGCGCGGGGCATCCTCGCGCACCGCCGCGGCCGAGGAGTCCGGACCGCGAGGCCGTGGATATGGATACGGGGTACGCTTCCCGACCGCAGCTCAGATAGAAGAAGAAAAACGGCATACAGTGGAGGCCAGTCCAGAAGAAACCTTCCACCCCAGGGCGTCCATGGACTTCTGGTGTGGGAACGGCACGCTTGCCACAGCAAAGCCGTCGAAACCCGGGGCACCCTGGAGGCAAGCAGGGCGATTCTTGGCATGGTCCCCCACTGTGAATATAAACTTTTGGTGCTCCGCGCGGATGTCTCGGATCTGCGCTGACCCCCCCCTCCCTGGCGCGCGGAGTGCGCCAGGGGCGGCGCCGGAGGCGCCGCCGGGGGGGGGGGGCCCAGGCGCGGATCCGAGAAATCCGCGCGGAGCGCCAAAAATCTGTGCAATGGCGTTTTCTCCTCTTCGAGATGCGCTTCCCGGCCGCAGCTCAAAGGAGAAACAAGGACCACCGCCACCGAGAACCCGCCAGCCAGTGGGGGGCTCGACCCCGTCTGGGCGGCGGCACGCCCGAGCGCCACCCCACGACGCACGACGCTCCGGCGCGCCTCCGCCCATGGGGTTCTCGGCCCCTCCCGACGGGTCCCCCCGCGTGCTCTGCTCGGCGCGGCGAGGCTCCGGGCGGTGCCGGGGCAGCAGAGCACGGCACATAGAGAGCAGAACATCCACCCTGTGAGGGCATTGAAGAAGGAACCAGTGGATAAGGAGCCCAGGGTCTGGGAGCTGATGTCCAATCGTGGACTGGCCATGGATAGCACCACCGCCCTCATCAGATGAGAAGCCCTCCAGGGTCTGCAGCTTCCTGGGCACATTCCTTAACGAACGCCCCCACAATACTCACCCCGACACGCGAAACCGTTTGTAGTAAGCGCATCCAAAGAAGGAGTCGAACAGGGCCGGGCTGTTCGGGAAACGCCCAGGGCCGTGCAGTAAACGCCAGTTATCGGGTCCAGGTGGTTTTTCCTCCTCTGGAGCACAGGCACGACGACCTTGCGGAAGTCCGTGCAGATGTTTGTCGGTGCGAGGGCGCATGGGCGTTCGCTGGGCTGCTTCTCCTGGTGCCGTTCCCGTTCTCCCCCTCTCCCATCGCCCTCCTCCCAGCCATCACTGAGGCGGCGGTGGCTCCAAGGGTGCATTCGTGCCGCTCCTTTCCTTTGTATATACTCCAGATTTCGTAAGAAAAGGGAGGGGGTGACAACCCTCCCAGACCAGAAGCTTTAGACCCTCCCAGACCATCCATGAAAGGGCGGCACTTTGCCCAGACCCCCCCCGAACCCTTCATGACAGCTCAAATCAGACCCCCCCGCCAAATGTGACCCCCCCCCCCTACTTTACTATGGTATCCGGAGTACCTCTCGTGCTGCCTGCTCCGACGAAAGGGTTGAACTGTCGCTGGTTCCTTGCCCTTTGCCTCCTCGACTCCGCCGAAAGAAGAGGTCCGCGCCGACTCGTTGGGTCGGCGCTGGGCTCCTTTGGCGGCGCCCCTGGCGGGTCCAGCGCCGACCCAAGACATCCACGCTGCCCCGATCGGGCGCGGATCGATCTGGGTTCTCTGCTGGGCGCTTCGCCGTCCTCGTCCTTGACGTCCTTGTCCTCGCTCTCCCACGCCTTGCGGGAGGCCAGAGGCCGTAGGAGACTCCCTCCCTCCCTCCCTCCCTTTCCCTTTCCCTGCCGAATCCCCTGTCTCCTTCTCGTTCTCGTGCCGTTTCTCCTTCTCTTTGTTATCATGATGTCCTCTCTCTCTCTCTCTCTTAATTTTTGTCGTTTTTTTTTCTCTATCTCTCTTTCTCTCTCTCTCTCTCCCCCTCTTTTTACGTGCATATATATATATATATATATATATACACACGACATCGTTCCTTTCAACGTATCACTACTTGTTGCTTCTCCCTCTCTCTCTCTCTCGCTCTCCATTGGTGCTGGCGCCTCCTCGCTTCTGGAATGACTGCCGCTGCGTGTTGGGAGGCTGTCCGCTCTTCCATCCCCGAGCGCGCGGACCTCTCCCTGCGGGGGCCGCGCCGTCGGTGATTGCGTGCAGGCCGGTGCCCGCATCGGGGCGGAAGCAGGGGAGGGGGGAGGAGCAGGGGGAGGAGCAGGGAACAAAAAGTGGCAGAAACATAAAAACTCGGAGGTCCGCGCGGATTTCTCGGATCGGCGCTGGGGCCCCCCGGCGGCGCCTCTGGCGCCGCCCCTGGCGCGCTCAGCGCCCCAGGGAGGGGGGTCCAGCGCCGATCCGAGAACTCCGCGCGGACCAAAGAGTTCTTATGTTTATGCAACTTTTTGTTCCCCTAGAGGAGCAGGGCGGAAGGGAAGAGAAGGGGGAGGAGAAGGGGGGGGGGAAGGAGCGGAGGAGAAAGGGGGAGGAGATGGGAGGGGAGGAGGAGGGGAGGGGGCCCGGTCATCCTCGAGGCGAGCAAGAAGTCTCCATGGATTTGCTGTGACGAGTGCCAGCTCCTGTCAGAACCAACTCGGGACGGAAAGCGGGCCTCGGGGAGGGGGTCGAAGTCTCACAGATCCACGCTGCGAAAAAACAAAACACGCCGACGGGTGTCTGGGGAGGGTGGAGGGCGCAGGAGGGGGAGGAGGGCGGCTGCGGCCACCACTTTCCAGAATCCATCCCCGGGGGTCTCTGCTCTTCTTCCTCCTCCTCCCTCTCCTCCTTACCCTCCTCCTCCTCCTCCCTCCTCCTCCTCCTCCTCCTCCTCCTCCCCCCTCCTCCTCCTCCTCCTCCTCCTCCTCCTCCTCCTCCTCCTCCTCCTCCTCATCCTCCTCCTCCCTCCTCCTCCTCCTCTGTCCTCCTCGTCCTCCTCGTCCTCCTCCTCCTCGTCCTCCTCGTCCTCCTCCTCCTCGTCTCCTCGTCTCGTCCTCCTCCTCCTCCTCCTCCTCCTCCCTCCTCCTCCTCCTCCTCCTCTGCTCATTTCTCTTCTCTGCTCTTCTCCTCCACTTCCTCCCGCCCAGATCCTCCCACTCGGCCTCCTCTCTTCCCCCGGCCTGCCCCGCCCCTCCCCCGCCTCCCCTGCCCTCCCTTGCCGGCCCCCTCTCCATCTCCCCTGCCCCGCTGCGCGCCCGGGCCTGCCCTCGCCGCTCCTGCTCCTCCTGCTCCTGCTCCCGCCCCCCGCCCCGACACCCCTCTCCCTTTGCGCTCGCTTCGCGGCTGCGCGCATAACGACGCGAAGCGCTGGCCCCGGGGTGCTACCGTGGATGTGAGAGATGTTCGCGCGAGACCAGAGCAGAACGCCAGAATGCCGCCGTGCAGAGAAACTGGATGCCCTCTGGCTCAAGAGCTTGCACTTGCGGCTCGCGTGTATTTTTTTACGCTGTCGGCTGCGGCCGCCGACCGGGCCCAGCTTGGAGCCCGCGGACCCTGCGAGCCGGCAGGAGGGCTCGCCGACCTCCCCGGAGAAGGAGCCCCGCCGCCCGGCACGAGGGGGCCCGGGTGCAGAAATCCGGCAGGAAAGAGCAACTCGTGGACCCCCTCCCCGAACATCAAAATTGGCAAGCGCGGGGAAAACTGCGGTCGAAGTGCAGCTCCTTCAACCCACCGCCAACATTGATCATTGGGGGGGGGACTGGGGGGGGCAACGACAGATGAACGCGGCATGAGTGTTGGCTAATTTCTGTCGCGCTCTGGCGCACACGTCCCAAATCTTCACGGTCTGCGCGTGTTCCGGCACCCGCGGCTTCCTCCACCCGTGGCACCCGCAGGGCACCCGCGCCCTTTCCTTCTTTCCCTTGTGCCCAGCTCGGCTCCGATGCATCTCTCGGCTGTCTCTCACGAGTCTCTTGGACTCAAGCTGCCGCTGACAAGCACATTTTCTGTAGCCCCGAGGCCCCCAAAGTCCTCGACCCCCCATCCCGGGACCACATTTTCGTCCTGGGAAGCACTCGTTAAAGGCCCCGTGGTTCCGCCACGGGCCTCCGAAGGAAAATCGCCAACAGCATACAAACAAATCTGACCCGCTGGCCTTCGCTATTCTTCGTGACGCCAGACGTTTGCACCCCCTCCATGATCAAGGTCAACTTCAAGGCCCTTCCTGAAGAGTGCCCTGCGCAGAAGATCGGGGCGGATCCGGCCACGGCCACGAAGGCGCCCAAAAGGTCAAACAGGGCAAACGCCGCTGAAAATACCGACCGACGACCCTCGCCTTGGGATCGGCATAGAGCTTCTTGGGGTCGAGGTCGTACCTCTTGCAGACCTTCGCGTACAGGGCGGCCTCCTTTCCCTTGTACTTCTCCATCAGGCCCTTGACCTCGCCCAGCTTGTAGGGATTTCGCTTGCGATATACAGCCTCCACCTGGCAGGGTCTGAATCATGGGGGAGGATAAGGGGGATGAGGAGGAAGACGACGACGACGACGATAACCAGGACAACAGCGACGAGGATGACGATGAGGACTCGAGGGAGGGAAGGAGGGAGGGGGAGTAGAAGAAGGACGAGGAGGGAGGAGGGGGAAGATCCCCTTGCCTATGGGCAGCGGGCGAGCGAGAGGGAGAGGGGCAAGAGAGGAGGGCGGGGGGATTCCGACTGGCACTTCGCCTGCGAGCGGTCTTTCAGCCTTCGGATTCTCTGGTGCGTGTCTTTTTCCTGAAGGACCACTCCCTTTAGCTTTCGCCTGCCCGTTCACAACCGAACCAGCACCCCCATGAAGCTAGAAAGACGCACGGCCGATTCGGGCGTCGCGTAGTGGCAGCGAGGGGCCTCAGAACGACTGGCAAAACAGCACGGCGCGACCCGAAGCCGGTCGGTGCCCCAAAGGGAGGGCGGGCGCTGGGACCGTCTTTGGGGTAGGAGGAGGAGGAGGAGGAGGAGGAGGAGGAGGAGGAGGAGGAGGAGCAGGAGGAGGAGGAGGTGGAGGTGGCGGAGGAGGAAGAGGAGGAGGAGGAGGAGGGAGGAGGCAGGAAAGGAGGAGGGAAGGAAGGGACGATGACAAGGAGGGCCGCCGCCTTCCGCCGGCCTTCCGCCGCGGACGCGACGGCAACTCCCTCTCGCCGCCCGAGGGCGAGCGCCTCGCGCGGAGCGCGCGGGAGCCTCGCGGTGGCTGCGCGCGCCCGCGGAGGCCGCGCGCCGGATGCGCGTGCGGCGGTCCGGCGTGCCCTGCCACACCTGGCATCGCTCGGACGTCCATTCGCTGTGTTTTTTTCGGTCTCGTGCGTGGCTTTTCGCCAAATGATCAAGGATGCTCCTCGATGGCCCTCGCCGAAGGAAAAATGCACGCGTCCGAGCGATGCCAAGCACACGGTGGCCGAGCGCTGGAACAGACATGCGGCTAGACTTGGCCGCTTCCGGGGAGCCCCGGAGCCCCAAAGTGCTGCCGCCTCTCGGGCGCGCCTCTGCTGCCTCCGCCGCACGCCGCCGGCGGAGACGCCCTCGTGCTTCGGGTCGGCCCGCGAGGGGGTCCAGCGACGAGGGGCGCTGGTGCAGTAGACCTGGTGCATTAGATCTGTTGGGTTGCAGTCGCTTCGGGGCGTGCCATACATTCCGGGGCGCAGATGCCTTGCGGGGTTTTCGCGTGCAATACGGTGCGGGCGCGGCCGCAAGAAACCCTCGCAAGAAACCCAACCCTGAGAACCCGTGCGCGAGGTGCACCTGAGGGGAGACCTGGAGCACCCTGAACGCAGCAGTTCCTTCAACGGCTGCGGAAAGTCATCGCGAATCGCGAGGAGCGAAGAACCCCAGGGTACCCTGACGAATAGCAGGTGGTTGCTTGATGCGCGCCCCCACTGTCTATGAGATGCAGTACGATGCAATACGACTCTCTGGCGCGTTACATTTGCAATCCACCTCTCGGGCGCAGAACTTCTGCTGCCGCCGGCTCCTCCCTCGACCCCCGAAGGCCCCCCTCCTGGAGCGCGCCGGGCTCGTGCCCAGCGGCCACGCGCAGGAGCACCCGAGGCTCCCGGCAGTGCGGCCGCGGGCGGCCGTCGAGGCAGTGCCCAGAGCTCCGAGGAGCCCCGAGCGTCACGAAGCAAAGCCGCTGCTCCTGCGCCATCGGCGACGCGCCGATGGGGGGGGGCAGGGAGGGGAGGGCGGGCCTTCTCGGAAGGCGGCGGAGATCCTCGGAAGCACCCCGTGCCCTCTGAGCAGCAGTCCGTTCCTTCGGAGAAGGCTCAGGATGAGCCTTGTGATGATAGCGGCTGCACGCCAGAGTGACCCCAGGCAAGGGTGCCCTCTGGTGCGCGGCCTAACGGGGGACGGGGGAAAGCCAAACCCAGGCGCGCAAGCCGCTGCTACCGCTTCGCGTTCAGCGATCGGGGGACCCCAGTGGGCCCGCGACAAGGGTCACTCTGGCTGAAGGTCATTCTTACGTCCAGTCGATAATAGAGGAACAGAGCAACGGCATAAACGTACACTTCCGCCGATCCGCGCGAATGTGTGGGATCCGCGCTGGTTCCGCCGATCCGCGCGAATGTGTGGGATCCGCGCTGGAACCCCGCCCCCGGCGCGCGGAGCGCGCCAGGGGCGGCTCCGGAGGCGCCGCCAGGGGGTCCCAGCGCAGATCCAAGGGATCCGCGGACCTCCGAAAGTTTACGTTTGTGTTGTTTGTCACTATCGGAGCTGAGGCCCGCCCCCTCTGCCCCCCCTGGGCGCGCCGCCAAGCCAAACATGCTGGACAACGCTGTGCTTCCCGACCTGGCCGCGGCAGCGCCCGCCGCCGAAGGGCGGTGTGGTGCGGTGCACGGCCGCCCTCGGCAGAGGTCATGTGCCTGGCACTTCGGAGGGCCTCGCGCGGAGAGACAGCAGGCGAACCTTGTGACCGCAGCCCTCCTCCTACCTCCTCGCCCCTCCTCCATCTCCTCGCGCCTCCTCCTCCTCCGCCTCCTCCTCCTCCTCCTTCGCCTCGCCCCTCCTCTCCTCCTTCTCCTCGCGCCTCCTCCTTCCTCCCCCCTCCTCCTCCTCCTCCTCTCCTCCTCCTCCTCCTCCTCCTCCTCCTCCTCCTCCTCCTTCCTCCTCCTCCTCCTCCTCCTCCTCCCTCCTCCCTCTCCTCGCGCCTCCTCCTCCGCCTCCTCCTCCTGCTCCTGCTGCTGCTGCTGCTCCTCCTCCTCTTCCTGCTCCTGCTCCTGCTCCTCCTCCTCCTTCTTCCGTCTCATCGCGTCTCCTCCTCCTCCTCCCTCTCCTCCTCCTCCTTTCTCCTCCTCCTCCTGCTCTTCATCGTTCCTCCTTGTCGCTGTCCCCCTCCTCCTGCTTCTTCCCTTCTGGGGTTCTGTCCTCCTCCTTCTCCTCCTCCTCCTCCTCCTCCTCGCTGCTCCTGTTCCCTCTCTTCTCTTGTCCTGCTGCTGCTGCTCCTCCTCCTCCTGCTCCTGTTCCTCCTCGTCCTCATTGGCCAGACGCTTGGAGGTGTGGCCCTGCCCTCCTCAAAATCGCCACCTGCACATAAAAGGGGGCGCGCTCTGACCACCAGAACCGAGGTGGTGGTCCAGCCGCGGCGACGAGGGCGCTGTGTGAAGTCGAGAGGAGGACCAGGCGCGACAAGAGCTCCTGCCAGGATCGGAGCAGGGGCGGAGGAGGAGGAGGAGGAGGAGGAGGAGGAGGAGGAGGAGGAGGAGGAGGAGGAGGAGGGGGAGGGGGAGGAGGAGGAGGGGGGAGGATGATGAGCGGAGGAGGAGGAGGAGGAGGAGGAGGACGATGAGAGAGGAGGAGGCGGAGGAGGAGGAGGAGGAGGACGATGAGAAGAGGAGGAGAGGAAGAGAAAAGGAGGAGGAGGAGGATGAGGAGGCCTCCAGAAACGGGTCCCCTGAGCTGGCGCCTTCTTCTGGGACCGCTGCGTGATGTCGAGAAGAGGACCAGGCACGTCAACAGATCCGATAAACAAAAAACCAACAAAGCCCACCGACATACTTGATGGGAGGCCTGTGCGGATCGCTCGGATCGGCGCTGGACCCCCCTCCCTGGGACGCGCCTCCTGTGCCAGGGGCGGCGCCAAACGCGCCGCCAGGGGGGGGCCCCTCGCCGATCCCAGGCATACGCGCGGAGCTCCGCTTCAGCGACGAACATATGCGTCGGCTTCGCGGGCCAGGTCCCGGGGCCACGACCCCGCGGGACGCTCCGCAGAGCGCATCGGTGGGACCACGTGCCCGCGGGATCTATGTCGTTTGCTATCCTTCGAGCGAAGGCGACGACGGCGGCGGCAGGGGGGCCCCAGCGCCGATCCCAGACATCCGCGCGGAGCGCGGAGCTCCGAGAAATCATGCTCATGCCGCTTTTTGTGCTGAGGTCCTCCTGGCCCTGACCTGCACTTCTGCACAGGGGCGTCGGGCTGGGGCCCGCAAGCGTCCAGCCGTCGCAGAGACAAGGGCGTCGTCCCCGCCCCCTTTGCGCGCAACATGCACCCTCTTAGGAGGAGGCGGAGGAGGAGGAGGTGGAGGAGGAACCAACGAGCGACCGACGCGCCCATTGCCCCTGCAACCGGGACGGCCCGACACAAAAAACCACAGTGGCATGGAGAAATATTGCTTTAAACCGATGCTTCCAGAAAATCACTCCTGTCGTCGTAGGGACGATTGGGCATAAACCAGATACAATGCGGACAGACGTGCCAGTCTTTGCAGCAAGTTTTGCTGACGCTGCGATGGATTCATGAAAGTTCTTCTGCGCTATCCACACACACACACACTTCCCACACAACTCGCATGCATCAGGGTTATCATGATGGTTTCGTCAGCACTGGTTAAACTTGCACATTATATGGTGACTTCGTGGGCACTTGTGGAGAATTCCCCAAACCTTGTTTAACGATACGCTGTCTTGATCTGCCTACGACAACACTTGCGATTCGTATGCCGCCTTTTTTTTGTTCAGAAGGCCGAACACGAGAAAAATGACCACGCACATTACTCTGAATTTTCGCTGCTGCATCCTTCGACTGCTGCTCCTCAAGCTGTGGCCCCAATGGCTGCCAACCCACGATGCAAAAACAACTCACACATGATGATTTGCCAAACTATCTTCCGGCTGGGAAGCACTTCCTTGAAGGGTCGATTGTAAACGAATAGAGTACTCCAACGAAAATTGTGATGACGCCAAGCGCTGCACCGACGTATTCAAGTTTGTAGCTAAACCTGGATCGTGACCTGGCAATGCAAGTCGAGAGGCATCGTGGAACGTGTTACCTCGCGGCGGCAAAATACTGGTATGATATTTCAACTCCTCCGAACGGCAAACCGCTTTGCGTACAGCAACGCGTCGATCTCTGAGCTTCCTGGCTCTTGATCACGGCATGCTGTTCCGATTCTCCGCTCTGCAAGGTCGCCTGTACTCGTCGGAGTCACGAGGACGGCCGTTTCCAGAGAGTTCTGCATGAAAGTTGCTGCCAGACTGTCTTGAACTAGGGCAAGTTTCGCGGGGAATGGGAGGACGAGGAGGAGGAGGGGGAGGAGGATGAGGACGACGAGGAACGGCCCTCGTTTGAAACGTGCGGTCGTTCCTGGAAGTCGGGGAACGCGCCTGCCCCCGATCACAGTGCGCGGCCAGCCGGACTCGCGGCCCGCCGCTGGGTGAGGAGGAGGAGGTCGAGGACGAAGGGGAGGCGCTGCCCCGAGGCCTCGAAGCCTTGACCTCAGGAAACTGGTGAACCATCTTCACGTCTCACTCTGCATGAAGGAAGCAGGTGCAAGAGGGAAACGGGTGATGGCTCCCAGAGGGCTTTCCCCAGGGCCAGACAGACGTGAGCGCTGAGTAATTTTGTGGACCCTCCCAGGGCCCGTGGACGGCCCGAGAGCTTGAACATGGTGAACACCGCAGGGCCCGCTTCCGTCCGGCGTGATGGGCCCGTGCTCCACCACCACCACCACCATAAGTTGGAGGGGGAGGGGGTCCTAATCCTCCTCCTCCTCCTCCTCCTCCTCCTCCTCCTCGTCCTCCGCCTCGTTCCCCCCTCCAACCTATGGTGGTGGTGGTGGTGGTGGAAAACAGGCCCATCAAGGACCTGCTTTCTCCACGGCGGGCCTTCGCACGTGCAGGTCAGAGACCGTGCAGGGGCAGTCGCTCGTGGAGGCCGAGGTTGGACCAGAGAAGGAGGAGATGCCCCCCCCCCCGCGCGCGGCCTGCACCTTCCAGAAGTCCTCCCGCGTCTCCACCTCCGCAGGGCGGGGCGACCGGCTAAGCCGCGGGCAGGCGGCAGGGAGGACGAGGGACATCCTTTGTCCGGACAGAGCTGATGGTGGCCAGCGTGGGCCCGAAGCCGTTGGTTCTGGCACTTTGGATGTGCGAGCTATGTGGTGCAAACTATGTGGTGCAAGCTACGTTGTGCAGTCCATCTTGGAAACTGGACATCGTGAGGTCCATTGCTCGTGCAATTATCCCGCCCACCCACTCGCAACTTGCTTTGCACAACCTATGCGGCCGTGATTGCGGTGGTTACGTTGGCACTGGATGGCGCATCTCCATGGTTGCGCTGGCGCGTGCAAGCTCGCGCGCAGGAGCGGCCAACTGGTTTGGCACATCCGACGCGGCCGCTATGGCGCTTACAAGCGGGAGCTTCCCCACGCGTCTCAAAGGCCGCGCCGAGGCGCGGGCACTTCAATGCTGGTCGGTGGCTCGGGCGGGCGCGGTACGAGGATGACGTCGGCAACGGCGGCAACGATGGTGGTGGTGATGATGACGTTGGGGACGGCAGGGCTACTGACGGCGCCGATGCTGGCAACGCCGGTGGCGATGATGTTGTCCATGTGTCGGTGATGAAGGTTATTGGATGATGATGGCGGCAATTGCGGTGGTCATCGGTGACGATGACGTGGGTCGGCGGCGCTGATGAGTGTGACGGTGAGGAAGTACGCGCGCGCGGAAATCCAATAACCTTCACACACAACAACATATGAATCTCTAGGTGGCCCGCATGGAACTATTTGAAACTATGTGATACAGATTCGACCACTGGGCGCATGCTGAGTCAAAGCGGACGCACTGCGTGGTGAAATGGATGCGGGTCCTGGACGAGGTTGCGAAACCCATTTGGTATTCGTATGATTTCAGCAAATGCACGCGGGCCTGAAATTCGAAAGATCTGTGATGAAACACCTACGGCTTTTTGACTTGTGCATGTGTGGATTCCTTCCGACACTGGTGCCATGTATGATGTTGATCTGTGCGCTCACGTGGATATGTGCAATCTTTGCAAGGGATTCTTGGGACATAGTCCTTTGCAATCGCGGATGTTCACCTGTAGTATTATGTTGCAAGGATGGAAGGAAGGGGGATACTGGCTTGACTAGGATGGTCTGAGCTCAAGTGGAAATTGTGAGACTTGTTTTGCTCAGCCTCTGGGCGGCCCCCACACTGACCGGGGGGGGGTCTTGACTTCTTCGTCCTCCTGCACCTTCTCCTCCTCCTTCTCCTCCTCCTCCTTCTCCTCCTCCTCCTCGTGGGGGGGCGGACCACTCCTCCTCCTCCTCCTCATTACCACGCTCACCATTACCATCAGAATCATCATCACACCCATCCCTCCTACATCGCCCGCTACACGACCATAGTAGTCACCGTCCTTTTTCACCCAAGCCACCTCCATGACCCCCTCCGGTGTAGACGAGCATCTGGGAGTTGCACCAGCGCTCGTGCCAAAGGCGCATGGGTTGTCACACCGAACCCACCAGACCCACTCCCGCCCCCACCCCATCACCCCGACGCCCCTTGTCACCCCAATACACACACACACACCCGCACCCCAGGAGTTGGGGCGGGTCAGATTAATTGTTTAAGCGCCGTGGATAGACAAGCGCGTTTTACCACTCGCATAAAAATACTCGCAAGTGGCCTGCATCAGCCGCAGGGGATTTACGATGTATGATGCAAAGGCAAACGTATGGTTTTCTGACGTTTGCGGTTACACTTCGCTATAGTGAAACGCGCTCGGCGAGTGGAACGTGGCCCCGCTCCCGTCTGGAGAACCTGGCTGCCACTGCGGGGACGAGGCCGGGGGGATCGACCCCGCGCGAGAGCGCCACGCTTCCGCAGGGGGCAGCAAGTTACTGCCCGCCCAGCCCGTCCGGCGCTGGGACGGAGACCCCATCGCTGTGGCGGAACCCCTCCCGTGCAGGAGGAGGGGAGCCACCACGCCCGTGGCGCCCACGCGCAAGGCGGCGCAAGGCCGTGAAAGAAGCTCGCCCGCGCGGGCTCTGGCAGAAGGGCCGCAGGCGGCGCGCCCTCGGCCTGACCCCCAACCACCATCACCACCGTCACCATCACCATCACCACCACCGTCATCACCGTCACCACCACCATCCCCACTTCTTTCATCATCATCATCATCATCATCATCATCATCATCATCATCATCATCATCATCATCATCGTCATCATCGTCATCATCATCATCAGCAACAGCAGCATCAACATCAGCATCAGCATCAGCATCAGCATCAGCATCATTATCAACATCATCATCATCATTCTCCTCCTCATCATCACCACCATCACCATCACCATCATCATCACCATCACCATCACCATCACCATCACCATCACCATCACCATCATCATCATCATCGTCATCATCATCATTATCATCATCATCATCATCACCATCGTCATCAACATCATCATCATCATCTACATCATAATCAGCATCATCTACATCATCATCATCATCATCATCATCATCAGCAGCAGCAGCAGCAGCAGCAGCATCACCATTATCAGAAGCATCACCATCATCACCAGCAGCATCATCCTGTTCTGCCTTCTCCTCCTCCTCCTCGTATGTCGAGGCCGAGGGCAACGAGTGGTCTAGAAGCCTCATCTCCTCTCATCCTCCTCCTCCTCCTCCTGCTCCTCCTCCTCCTTCTCCTTCTCCTTCTCCTCCTCTTCCTCCCTCCTCTTTCGAGAATGTGACTGCTGAGGGAGAGGACGGCGAAGACGAGAACCAAGGGCAGGAAGGAGGAGACGATGAATGAGGACAAGGAGAAACCAGAGAAGAAGAAGAGGAGAGGAGGCCAGCCACAAGTGCGCTCAGTCCTGGGCCGAAATCGGGCCTTGCAAGTGGCCTTCGAGCGATCCATTACTTGGACGAGCTCCTGGCCACGCCGAATGCCCCAGGTCCCCTGCGGACTCCTCGTCGTACTCGCTCTGTTGGTAGGCCATGATGACCTGTCGACCCATCTGTGTTTCAGGGCCGGCGCCTCCAAGTTCCTGGACAGGCGTGCTGTCATTGTAAAACCACTGGCGCCACGACTCCATCGTTGAGCCGTTCACGATGCCGGTGACGCTGGCCGCGGACGCTGCCTCCTTACAGGCCGCCGGCCAAGCGAACAAGACCCGACCCAAGTTCAGCCGCTCGAGCTTCCCGAAATTAACTGGCAAGGCCAGCTTCCGATGGAGGGCGATCTCCAGGAGCACGCCGCGCGGCGGAAACGGCAGTGCGCCGCTGCATGAAGTGCTCCTTCGTCCGGTCAACCGTGCCCTGTAGCGACCGCGCGGCGGGGATGGGGGACAATTTCCACAATCATGACTTGCCATCGCTCGGACGTCAATTCCCTGTGTTTTTTGTCTGTTTCGTGCGTGGCTTTTTCGCCAAATGATCAAGGATGCTCCTCGATGGCCCTCGCCGAGGGAGAAATGCACACGTCCGAGCGATGCCAAGATGAATGACAACGTGCATTGGCAAGCGAACACACGCTGTGGTCTCTGAGACTTGGCTGTCACCATGCTCTGTTGAATCGGTTGCCGGCGTATTTCAAGGGGGCCATGACATGGAGAAGCTTCTCCATCCATTGCGGCCGCTCACGGGCGTGGGCGAGGGCAGACTCGTCCCTGCCGCCGTCAGCCTTGATGACGGCAAGACGGTGCATGGCGCAGGAAAAGTCGGAAACCGCAGCAGCTGCGGGGGAGGTCGAGGAGGAGGAGAGGGCGGGGGAGGAGGAGGATGAGAGAACGGAGAGTCAGCGGGCATCATCGGGTATGTGGGGGGTGCGCTCAACACCCCCGTGTTATCCAATGAACCCCGAGGGTCATCGGGTAACTCATTCTCGCGGGGGGGGGGGGGGGGGCGACTCGAGTTTCACGATGGGGGGGGGTCATTCATCGGGTAACCCACAAGGATCGTTGGGTAATTGGAGGGTTTTTGGCGCACCG